ACAATTTTTTGTTAGTACAATTTTTTGTTAGTACAATTTTTTGTTAGTAACATTTTTTGTTAGTGCAATTTTTTGTTGGTACAATTTTTTGTTAGTACAATTTTTGTTAGTACAATTTTTTGTTAGTATAATTTTTTGTTAGTAGAATTTTATTCTGGAATTATTTTTTTTAATTCCTTTTGTAGTACAACTTTTTTTTTCGTAAATGTTTTTAGAAAAACTTTTTCTCAGAACTCCCTATGATTTTTTTTACAAAGTTTTGACAAAGACATTACTTCTGTTGGTTTTTTATCATTCTCATCCTCTCTTTGTAGGTATGTAACTATATTTAATTAAAAAAAAAAGTTGTATGCCTAGGATGTTTGTATGAATGTGTATTTAGAGACTTACATATAATCATACGTACATACGTAAATAGATATTTTTTTATGTGTATACTAAGTATTTACAAGCATGTAAATTCTATACTAATTATTTTCGTTTTCTGCTGCTTCTGTTTCTTTTCAGCCGCGTTACCTTGCCATTAACTGTGGAAGAGGTTAGTATACAGGAAGTCAAAAACTAGGAACTAGAAAAAAAGTACAAAAACTGTGCTTTACCCTCACTGGAACGTCTACAGTCATCACATGCGGCGCAACCGCACACCCGCATATGCAATTGAATGCAGCCTGTGGCGCAAGCAATAAGCAAATCTTATAGCCGACCCTCTTCGTCATACGCCAATCGCCAATCGCCAACAGTTTTAGTTCTATGCATTTTAATTTTCTTTGCTATTTTTATATTTTTTCTTTGTTACTTACATACATATCGGCTCCTGGCTATTTTTGCCTCGCCGTCATTGTAAACGCGCCGCTGCATAATTACACTTATTCGTATGCTCGTTGAAAAATAAGAAATAGAAACAAATTAAAAAAAAAAAAAAAAACAAAAAAAAAAATCGGAAATAGAGCACCAATCAGCCAATGTGGCGTCAATGGCGAGGCCAGGCGAGTGCGGTCACCGTCGTTCATAGGAAATTAATTAAAAATTCAATATTGTGCACGCTCTCTTTAACATTTTTCATTTTTTCTAAGTATTTAATTTTTATTTTGGATTTCCAAGTATACTCAATGCATTTTAGTAGAATAGGATTACTTTTGATGAAAACATAATTTTGTATGTAACATTATTTGAAGACTGTTTAAATCGGTGTAATTGTTAAGTGTTGTCATCGAAAGAGTAGGAGCCATCTAGCGGGCTGTCCCGTAAACATGTAGTTGTAAGAGGGGTGACCCAGAAAAAGAGATATGGTAGTTTCACAACGTACACAACGTAATTGTAACAGTGTTCTGCTGCGGATTTCTTAAGTCAGATTCGAACGGTGATGATTTTTCATGAAAAACTGTTTCATAGTACATAGTACATAACTCAAGCTACATTTATTTAAATAGATATAGATAGCACAACACCGAAACCGGTTTGTCTCCAAACCAAAATTGACAAGGGATGACGGAAAATTGTTCCACAATAGAGCATACACCTACTCTGTCGGAAACACAAACAACGAAAAATATCAAATAGGAAGTATCAAAATATATATATGCTTAATAATCCTTTCTTATTGCCTTCTAAATTCAAGCGCCTTCCTAATACTTATATTTAAATTTGTCATGTAGCCCCCATAACCTTATTTGGCAACAGTGCGGCTGTAATCATAACTTTTTATCATATTTCTCTCCACACACCTTCTTACATTATTTCTCCCATTATTTTGTAACTAAGTTGGACATTTTTCTTATAAAGTGTACACCTTATGCATTTCTTTATTTAATTTTTTATTTGCTTTCTATTTCTTATCCTTACGCAGTATCAAGTTGCACAACTTTATTCAGTTGCTGAAGCATCGAAGAATGAGACTGGCGGTGGTGAAGGCATTGAAGTGCTAAAAAACGAACCATTCGATAATTATCCACTGTTGGGTGAGTATGAGTTATACCAAAAGTACTCGTACATAAATCTTAATGAAATTTTTAATTACACACATGCTTTTCATTTTAATTTTACAGGTGGTAAATATAATGCCGGCCAGTATACATATAAAATCTACCATTTGGCATCAAAAGTTCCAGCATTTATAAGACTGTTGGCACCGAAGGGTTCCTTAGAAATACATGAAGAGGCATGGAATGCATATCCGTATTGCAGAACGGTCATAACGGTATGTAAAGATGTGCTAACATATTTAAACAAAAAAAAATGGCAAACGATGATATTTTAGCGTTGGCACTGCAATCGCTAAGGAGTTTTGAATCAGTATGAATTTAGAAACTTTAGAAACTTATTTTAGAGAGTTAAAGGAACGAAGAAAGCGGTTAGCGCGTAGAGTGCTAATAGCAGTGCTCTTTATAAGACTGTTAAGTTGTCTGGCATTCAAAGAAAGCATTAGCTAGAGTCAAAACTATCTCTGCATGATTTTGGGGAAAGATACTGGAGTGCCAGTGCATGGCTAGATATACATAAATCTTTGTTGTTCCGTACGTACATAGAACTGACTAATAACTTACCTTATCTCTGCGAGAAGCCTAAAAATGTCAAACTCGAGTTTAAGTGTCTATGAAATAGGAGTTGGCTAATTAGAATCTCATTATGTCTTAAGAAATATTTTTTGGTAAAATATATAACTCAAATATATCTATATAATCATTTAGTTATCCTGTGTTCAGAAATGCATCAAGCCAAAGCATCAGTCTCTTTTATTTCTAAACTATCACTGATAGAAATGTCCAATATGCGCAACCACGGTTAAAAGCCGAATTGGCCGTAAATAGTTGTTTTCCATTAATAATAAAATAACGAAGTTGGGCTGGAATTTCCCTTGGGGGGTCGATTTTATCGGTGGTATGAGTTACGTGAGATGCTCTGGCAGATGGGGGATTCCACCTTTTCGCGTAGTAGTACGTTTTGTCCTCTAAATAGCTTAGTGCATTTGCTGAGCTATCTCTAATTCCAGTGGACAACAGCCCTAGAGGAAGGATAGAAAGGATAGGGGAAAACAGGTGTAGATATATTTTCCAAGCACTAAAGCCTTAAGATGGGATAAAAATCATA